CTCATTAGAGACACTCAGTTTCACAGAGGACATATGGTCTCATATTGGATGCTCTGTGTCATTGACACTCAGTCTCATATGCGAGACACGGTTGCACACGGGACGCTCTGTCTCATTCCGGACGCTCAGTCTCACACAGAACACATGGCCTCAGATGGGACACTCTGTCTCACACGGGACGCTCTGTCTCACATGGGAAGCTCTGTCTCACACGGGACGCTCTGTCTTATCAAGGACAGTCAGTCTCACACAGAACACATAGCCTCAGATGGGACACTCTGTTTCATTGGGGACGCTCTGTCTCACACAGGACACTCAGTCTCACACGGGACGCTCTGTCTGACACGGGACGTGCTGTCTCACTGGGCACACTCAGTCTCACATGGGACACATGGCCTCAGATGGGACACTCTGTCTCATTGGGGACGCTCAGTCTCACACGGGACACACTGTCTTATCAAGGACAGTCAGTCTCACACAGAACACATAGCCTCAGATGGGACGCTCAGTCTCACACGGGACGCGCTGTCTCACACGGGACGCTCAGTCTCACACGGGACGCTCTGTCTCACACGGGACGCTCTGTCTCACACGGGACACAGAGCTGAAGCCTTAGGCAGCATCTCCATCACACAAGCCTTCTTTAACGATGGGGAGACTTTGAGCCCCATGTGGAGTCTGTGTTTTTCTCCACACTGCCTTTTCCTGTCCTGTTATCTCCTCATTACCTGAACATCGCAGTCACAGAGGCTGCAGACTTCCCTAAAAAACTTCACCGCGGATTTACAGCTCTGCAGGAAAACACGGCACCCCAAACGGGTCCAGGGTGCAGCTATTAACCGGAAACATTTTGCTTCATCAAAGCGAGCCTGGAGCCCCAACACTTCCCCATGTCTCAGATGACGAGGGCACATTCGGTGGGCCAGTGATTCACCGTAATCTTCATTTTCTGTAATAATATATGGAAAATCAAAGGCTTGTTCCTGCATTCGGCTCTCTTTAGCAAATGCTAATGCATCCTGCAGCACTCAGGTGTCTCAGCTGGAACTCATCTCATGTCTCCCATCAGCAACACAGCCATTTGTCTAATGCGATTTGCAGTGAAAACTGGGCAGTGAGACATGACGCCACATGGTGGCAGGACAGTGGCGGTGCAGGGCAGAAAGGCCACCGTGCTCCGGGCACATCCCACACAGAGGAGCCCGCCTCGGACAGGAGAACAGCAGCAGTCAGGGCGCCTCCCCAGGAGCCTGACAGTGGACATGGACACTTTCAGGGTAAAACCCAGAGATTCAAAGCAGATACAGAAAGTCAGACATTCAGGGTGAAAACAAACTCAGCATAAAATGCATTAATATGCAACTACACAGCTCATACATGAACTGTAATATCTAAGCAGGTTTCTCTATCAGAAATACCAACTGCAGTACCGTGCCTTTATCTAGCCTATTGTACATTCCTAACGAGAGCGGTGGCGGTTAGCACGTGCGGTACAGCAAGGTGGGGTTACCCTGGGAACCCTAGAGCTCACCAGAAATTCTGGGCCCATTGACAAAATGTCACCTTGGTCCCCTGCTGGGGCTGCCACTTTCAACCTAAAGAAATATGGATCCCTCCCACGGAACGGTTTACCGACGCTGGGGGGAGGAATCCCCAAAGGTAGGATTTGCCGAGCAGAGGTATAATGTTCCCCGAGCTCCGACGTCCATATATCTTTAGGAAGGTCTGCCGTGCTTAGTCAGGTGGGCGTTTCTGCGAGCGCAAAGCCCGGACTACACGCAGTCACCCACGGTGAATGAAGGGCACTACTGTACGTTTAGCCCATAATATGCCTTATGGGCTCCATCAGGTTATCACGCGCATAGCATCGCCAGCAAGGAAACTTCAGTATGATCGGTTACGACACTAATCCTTGAACTTGATTTATACCTTCGCGGAGAAATGATACACAATTAAACACAATTAAACACAACAGAGGACCCCAGACACCTGTAGAAATCGCATCTGATCTAACCCGTTTTTGATCTAAACCATAAAACCTATTTAGAAGAAGCAATAAGTAGTTAATGTCTGAGACGGCACCAAACGACAGCGCCGGATTTATCGAAACTAAAACTGGACTGTTCGTCCTTTAAATAGAGAGTAAAGAAATAGAAATGGCATCTGGGTCGGTACCGAAAGCCCGGTCGCTCCGGACAAGCTGTCGAGCTTTTACGTTCCGCATTGGGAGCGGGACGGAGTTAGAGCAAAGCGACCAGTCAGCCCATAAAACACCGGATAAGAAGCAACGGGACGGCAGCGCCTTACTTCCAGAAATTGCCAGGAGGTTCTTCGGGGCTTTCGTGGACCCAAACGTGGCCGAGATTGCTGTGAAGCCACGGCTGAAAGAGCACTCCCTCCGGCTGGCCGCCCCGCCTCGGAGCTCGGAGCCTCCGCCCATCCCCAGGGGCGGACTTACCATGAGGTAGGTAGGCAGCCGCCTGGGGCCCCCGAAAACCAGGGGCCCATGAAGACAAAATCTCCATAAGTTACAGGATATAACACAGTATGAACATTCAAATAAACGCCCACCTGACCAGCCACAGCAGACCTTCCTAAAGGTACAGGGGCGTCCAGGACATGCCGATTATCGCCCTCCACTCGGAGAACATAATAC